AATCATTGATTGGCTGCCTCCTTCATGCCCCCTACTGGGGGTTGAGTGCCCTGACCAGGAATCAAACTGTGACCTCCTGGTTCATAGGTCGATGCTCAACCACTGAGCAACACCGGCCGGGTAGCCAAAATCAATTTAAAAATGAAAAGCAAAATTGGAGGACTCACACTTCCCAATTTCAAAACTTACTATAAAGCTACAGCAATCAAAACAGTGTGGTACTACATAAGGATAGATACATACATCAGTGGAATAGAATTGAGAGAACAAAATATATCTTCACATTTACAGTCAATTAATTTTGACAAGGGTGCCAAGATAATTCAGAGGGGAGAGACTAGCTTTTCAACAATTGGGACAATTAGATGTCAATATGCAAGAGAATGACAAATAAACTCGAAAGGTAAGAGTGAAAATTATAAAACTCTAAGAAAGAATAAGACTAAATCTTTATGATTTTAGATATGACAGAAAAGCACAAGTAACAAAAGAAAAATTAGATGAGAAGTTTTTAAATTTAAGAATTAAAAAAATGTTAATTAAAAAATTTAAATTCATTAAAATTTAAAACTCTGACACCTCAAAGGATATCACCAAGAAATTAGAAAGACTAATCACAGAATGGGAGAAAATATGTGAAAAAAAGATGTATATGAGGTACTTGTATGCAAAATATATAAAGAACACATACAACTCAATAATAAAATGACAAATAATCCAGTTAAAAATGAGTAAAGGGACTGAATTTCTCAAAAAAATGGCCAAGAAGTACATGAAAAGATGCTCAATATGATTAGCCATGAAGGAAATGTGAGACCAAACCACAAGGCGATACCACTCCTCACCAGCAAGGTCGCCTACGATCCTGAAAGAGAGACAATGACACATGCTGACACAGATGTGGAGAGATTGGGGCCTCACACGTTGCTGGTGGGGATGTAAAATGGGGTACCTCCTTTGGAAAACAGCCTAGCAGTTACCAAAGATTAAACATAGGGGGCCCCGCATTTTCACTCCTAGGTATCTACCCAAGAGACACGAAAACTCGTCCTTATAAAAAATTGTACATGGATAAATAGTCAAAAAGTGGAAACAAACCCAAATGCCCACCCGCTGACGAATGGATAAATAAAATATGCTGCATTTATGTAATGGAATATTATTCTGCAGCAAAAGGGATGGTGTGCGGACACACACTGCAGCATGGGTGGCCTACAGCCGTGAGGCCGAGTGAGGGAAGCCAGAGCAGGCACGTCTAGAGAGAAGGGAAGTTGGCTGGTGGTTGTCCGGTGCAGGGAGGGTTGGGGGAAGGGGATGACTGATAGCATGGATATTTTGGGGGTGGGTGGGTGATGAAAACGTTCTAAAATTGGTTGTGGTGATGGTTACAAAACCTTGGGAATATAGTAAGAATACATTAAAAACCATTGGATTGTATATTTTACAAGGATGAATCATATGGCATGTGAATTATATCTCAATAAAACTGTTAAAGAAAAAGAGAAGGCCACATACCTAGTACAGAAATCTTCAATAGCGTTGAGCTGCCCAGGGGCGGTGGGAAGGCAC